AAGATATGTTGGTGAGATAATTGCAAACTTAATAATTTCCATAGATTCATGACACTTATATCCCACATACCCTTTCTTATGAGTTTCTGGCAAGGTTTGTTCAGTGAAGCCAGTATAGGTATTGTAGGCTGCAACTGATGCGAAATCTAAAGAAACTACAGTGGCTGACTATCTGTGATGGAGGAAGGTCATTGGCTAATAAAGGCACTGCCCTGGCCCATTTTATTGGTTAGAGGATAGGTGGGAGGAGTAAACAGAACAGAACGCTGGGAGGAAGAGGAAGTGAGCTCAGACTCGAAAGATCTCCTCTCAGGAGTAGACGCCTGAGAGAGACGCTATGTCTTGGTCCCGGGATGAAGCTCCGACCCAGGATGGACTAGGCTAGAGTCTCCCCGGTAAGCGCACCTGGGGGTGCTACACACAGATGATTAGATATGGGCTAAATTAATATGTGAGAATTCGCCTAGAAGAGAATGGGCCAAGCAGTGATTAAAAGAATACAGTGTCCGTGTAATTATTTCGGGACATAAGCTAGCCGGGCAGGCGGCTGGGGTGTTGGGGACGCAGCCCCGCCGCCGCTCTTATTACTACATATCTGGATATAGAGATTTGGGGGAGGGGAAGTGAGATCAAAGTTACAAGTAGTCATGCAAATACAACACGCCTTAAAAATATCAACATCATTGTGGTCAATGTTTACTTTGTTTAAAACAAAGGAACCCCTATGGGTTTTGATTTTCAATTCTGAGTGTAAAATTATAATCACTTTTCAGAAGCAATGAGTTAGGAAGTGGAAATGAAGGAGAAAGTTTGTAACTTTTGATCTATCCTCTTGAAGGAGTAAATAAAAGTAGATTGATAAGGAATTTTACAGAGGAGATCAATGGAAGAATTAAACACTGTTGTTGTAATTATAGAGTATAACAGGAGATTTCAGATGTAGAAGATCGAAAAAAACAATTTCTGGCAATAAATCTATAAATAATGCCTGATTTAATTCATATGAGAAATAGAAGCAAACATTGATAAATGGTAGGTGTAAAACAGTTCTAAACACAGAAGACTTTTGGGATTGAGGATGGGCTACCACGGTTAATAATAAGTGCTCTTGCTATCTGACACTGAGTAAGTTTCAAAAATGATATATTGCTACAACTAACACAAACATCGATAGTCTTTTATTTTTGAAATTTGTGAACCTATGTAAAGCTTTGTACATTCAGTTGATTTCATGCCTCAGATACCACTACCGGTCTTCTTCAACGAGTGATTTTTGTTGGCCACCCAACATGCCAGTGATACTTCCATGTATTTTGACAAACCTTGTAATGTGTGGGGGAAACAAGCAGAGTGATCTTTCAGTTCTTTTAAGTGTTATATTCTATCAAAGATGGTTGCATTATTTCTAAACTCATGTCTACTGCCTTCCACTACTTTTCTTCTACTATCTAATTATTGACTGCCGTCCCTTGAACTCTGGATTCTGTTACTTGTGGGTTTTTTTTTTAAATCCTCTCAAAGTTATACAGTTATTATCCATATCTTTAACTTGAACCACTTCCCTATCTCAGCTGCTTTTAAAATGCCACTTCTGCTCTTTGCCAGCTTTCTCCTCAGTTGACACATCATCCCTTGGTCCCTTAGTCACCAATGACGTGTGTATTTCCTTCTCTGAGTGCCTGACCTACATATAAGCATGGCCATGTGCCATCAGCCACTTAAACTTAGCTTTCCAAAGACTGAATTTATTTTTTCCTTGCTCGCACTCAGATATGCTTCTTCGTGTCCTAAGATAACCTAGTACTTGACATAGAGAAGGGACTTGGAAATTTAGTGTTTGTTAAACTTCAAACTGCTGTGTCCTAAATGTAAACTTCTGCTTTAGAAGATCTGGGTAGAGGCTACAAATACATATTTCTAATATTTTTCTAATTGCTAGTGGTGTTTGATGATGTTTTAGCTAGTAATACAGTACAGTGGAGACAGATCATTGGGTAATAGCTTCTACCCTACAAGTGTAAAGACCCAAGTTTGAATTCCTAGCTCTGGTATAATAATACAGGCATGTGATATAATTCCAACCTTAAGGGAGATAGGTAGATAAACATGCACCTGCATGCATGTGTGTGTGTGTAGTGTGTGTTTGTGTTTGTGTGTGGTGTGTGTGTGTGTTTGTGTGTGTGTGTGTCTGAGAGAGAGAGAGAGAGAGAGAGAGAGAACGTGAACAGTCTGTTTTCCAGATAAATCACTTCACAATTGTTAGATAAATAATTTCTAGGCAAAGCATAGTATTAAAATAAGCAATATGCACTAAAAAATCAAACTTAACTCAGTATGAGTGAGCTACAATGAGTATCTGTATAATGTTGGATTAATAAAATAATAAGTAATCATTCAACTGAATACCAGCTTAAGTTAATAATCTGAAGTGCATACAAAACTGACTTTTGAGAAGAAATATAACTATATTCAACCAAGACATTTTTTTCCAGAAATAAAGACAGATTCTAATATAACTACCTACCTAAATAATCTTGCATAAGTGTCTGATAGAGAAGTCACTGAGATTATTACTGTGGCTCAGCGGTGTGGAGGATGATGTGGAATAAATCCATATCTCTGAAGGAAGCTACCAGGCTTTTTTTTTTTATTTCCCACTCTTTTACTCTTTTGCTCTTTGGAAATCTGACACCCAAATAAATCACAAACAGAGTCTTATTCTTTTTTTTTTTTTTTTAATGCCCGATCTTAGCTTGGCTTATTACTAGCCAGCTTTTCTTAACCTAAATTATCCCAACTAGCTTTTGCCTCTGGGCTTACATCTTTCTCTATTTCTGTAACCTTTCTTTACTTCTTTCTCTGTGGTTTGCTGTGTAGCTAGGTGACCAGCTCCTCTTGTCCTCCTCTCTTTGTTCTATCTTGCTCCTTCTTCTTCCCTCCTCCCAGATTTTCCTCCTGTTTATTCTCTCTGCCTATCAGCCCCACTTATCCTTTCTCCTGCCTCACTATTGGTTGTTTAGCCCTTTATTAGACCATCAGGTGTTTTAGACAGGCAGAGAATCACAGCTTCACAGAGTTAAAAAAAAATGCACTATGAAAGAATGTGACACATCTTTGCATCATTTAAACAAATGTTCCAGGCCATAAACAAATGCAACACCCCTTTAAATCACACTCTACAACACCAGAGCATATAAACGTTTGAATTCTCCATTGAAATGTAGCCACCTTTTTCCTCAGCTATTGCTCAGTGATACACAACGGCAGTGAAGAACCGACACATGAGATCAAAACCTTATGTCATGTTGCTTCAGAAGGCTGGAGGCAGGCATTCAAGTCTCTAGGCCTCAAACATTTCAAACAGGCTTCTTTTTTTTAAATGAAGAATACTATATTTATTTAATACAAAAAAATGTGACAAAGTGGTGTTTCAGTTCAGGGTAGTAGTTTTTAAAAATTAATTTCTGGATAAAATATAAAAGGACTTTCTTTTATATATAGGAAAGTCTTGAAAAACTGTGGTGACTGATGCTTAACTTTCTCAATCCCTCACCAGTTGCTGGCTCCATAACTATGTACATGAACTAAAAAGACATAGACCAGGACTCCATTAACAGAATAGAGAGAAAATATATCATTTGTGTTTTATTCAATGTAAGAATCATTTCATTAGAATTATCTATCTAAAAGCTAAATTTTTATTATATATTGATTCCATCAGCATTATAATAAAATTAGTTCAGTGCTTTGGCACCAAATATGCTGGAACCTGCCATTTATCTGAGCACTTGAGGGACAGATGTGAGTTCAAAAGAAGGCTGGTCAGATCCAGTCAGAAAAGCCTCGACCCTGTCTCAATAGACAGAGGTGGAGATAGAGATAGAGAGATAGAGATAGAGAGATAGAGTTGAAAATAGATAAGTACACAGGCACACACAGACAGATAGATATAGTTAACAGATAGAGATAGAGGGAGATATAAATATGGATTGATATAGATGGATGACAGATAGATTGATAGAGTACAGATAGATAGATAAATATAGATAGATATAGAAATAGAAAGATAGGAAAATATAGATACATAGATATAATTCTCAGAGTGTAGTAATTTTTGAATATTGTGTTAGGAATACCTAAAGAATACCTCCTGAAGTTTAATGTATATATGACCCAGAGAGTAACTATCTTTAAAGATAAGGTTTTGATACCTGTAATTCTTCTATTCCAACTGTTTCTCGGACAAATATCTGTGTTCCTATGTGCCCGTTGGATGAGTTGAGTAGTTATCTTACCAAGATTTTGTATGTGCTTCTGCAAACGTAAAAGACACTCCAGTGAGGACATTACTGGGATTACATCAATCATCAGGCTTTCCCAAAGCCACACCCTACCTAGATTTTATTTTAAAAAATAAAAATTAATTAACTAAATGAAATTAAATTTTCAGTTAAACTCTGCTTATAAAAATTCTATAGAACTAGTCTCCTGATTTTTTCCTCAGGCTGTTGTCTTTGTCACTATGGCCTTCAAAGAGCTGTCAAGTTCTTTGCCTCTAGATTCAAGTTTTAACAAGGTTCAGATCTTAGTCGGAGCTTTAAGGTGCAAACCCTTTGTGCTAGGAAAAATTATGAATTCCCTTTTCAAATGAAGAGTCGAGAGAATCTTGGCTTCTTGCAGAACTCAACTAGTAAAGCATAGAACCCATCCTACCACTTTTTATTCTGGTCACATCATTTCTGTTTCAGATCTATAGTTCTGAATTCTCCCGAGCTCCTCTCCTGCCTTTTTTCTGCATCTCATTCTTTTCAAGATATAATGTGCTTTATGCAGTATGACACCCATAAGCACATTAGACCTTGGTGCTCTAGTTTCTGCTTCTACAAAGAACTCTTCTGTTTGCTACAGAGTATTCCAGTGATATTGAATACAGTGCAGCAACATATAAGTTGATTTCTAAGATGCCTAACAGTATTTTCTATTTTTTCCTTTGTTTATAGTATAAGCAAGTGGAACAATACATGTCATTCCATAAGTTACCAGCTGACATGCGTCAGAAGATACATGACTACTATGAACACCGATACCAAGGCAAGATCTTTGATGAGGAAAATATTCTCAGTGAACTTAATGATCCTCTGAGAGAGGTAAGAATTACTGTTCTTGATCTGTGTGATATATTATTATCATTTATTTCTATCCTTTCTAGGGAGTCTTTTGGTCTCGGTTGTAACTTATTCAAAAGCATAATCAAAACTACATGCGAATACATCAGTTGTTGCCTTTATTCATCTTTTAGTTTCTTCCCTAAGAGACTTCCAATTACTTAAAAAGAAATGCCAGAGAACCATTCCTTTCTGGCTCTTACTCCATTTAATGTATTCTCGGCTCTCAAAAGTACATTTTCCAGTCATTGTCCCTATATTCCCAATATTCCATGTTTTTTTGCTGACCAGACCTGTTCAGTTATTTAGGTTATAATTTTTTACAGTTTATCGTCACATTTTTTCCTTGCATTTTCTTTGCTCATCCTTGGCACCTTAATCAGGAGATACTAGCTTGCTTCCAGTAAATCAACTCTTGGTGTCTCATTAAGATATGTTGAATATCAAAAGGCAGTCTTTACTGTGCACCCTCTTCTCATCATTTCCCCAATCCCTCCCCTCTGCTACCTGTCACTTCACTCCTAAACCAAAGTGGATGCTCTTGATTCCTTCATCTAACAGTGCTTTGCTCACGACTTCTTTTATTACCAAAACTCTTATAAATTTTTTGCATAATGGTTATACTGTGTTTGGATCACCAAGTTTTTACCACAACATGTAGTACTTGAAAGTTATCAAAGCCCTACTGATAATGAATTCTCCGTCTCTGCCTTGTTGAGAGTGCTTTGTTACATTGCTAACAAGACATAAACCCCGACTTCCCTGCTGGGCCTCTTTAACTGAAGCTTTGGGGTTTCATTCCCTGCCTCTGAACTTGTTTTCTTTCATTTATTTTATCACACATTTTTAGCCTAGGCATTTTAGTTCAAATTCTTTTCGTAAATTTCATTTTCTTAAAAGCTTTATGATCTCCCCTGGCACCCTGCAAGTTATGTAATGAAGTCATTATCTTTCTGAGTAAAACACTCAACTCTTGAAATCTTTCTGAAATTTTTAGTTATTCTTTCAGGTCACTTTGAATGTAAAATTTAAGTTCTTATTTTAGATCTTCTTCATTTCAACGTGTGCTCTGCACATCCTATCTCTGATTTACATTCCTAATACATCTAGTATGCATGCCTCACTCTCTTCTCCACTGCCACCACCTGAAGTTTTCACTTTTTAGTTTCCTCTAGGCTTGAGTCACAGACTGACTAATTTTTTTATGTACATGGACTCTCATTTCTCTGCCCAGAAAAAAAAATTGGTTGTTAGGTCATGAATTCAATCTTTCTGTACTCCAATGCCAGCTACCTTGACCGTTTTCATTTCTGCTTTCATCTTACAAAATGATCTGCAACAGAGGTGGACAACTTGCTGTCTTGCAACAACAATTATAATAATGCCTTACTCTACAGAGAAATGACTTTTACCTTTTGACAGTCTAGTACAAGCAATACTTTATCGCTTCCGTCTTTCATATAAGGCTAAGTCTAGTACTTCTTTCTCATGAACCCAAGAGCACTTAGTAATCATTGTGAATTACGTTCCTATTGCTTTGCACTTTTTATCCACCTTTGCCTTGAAATTTCTTTGACCAGAAGGATGCTGTGGTCCATATTTTAGTTTTTTTCCTTTCTTAAAATTTTTTACACATTTAACAAAAATTATACAACATGAATATTTTCATTTCTACTTTTCTCTTTTAAAGCCATCTCGACACTGCAGTTGTTACATCCTCTAAAATTTATTTGTATTGTGAAAAGCTATAAAATGTGTGAAAGGGATCTAAAAATAAAAATATCAGCTATCATATTGTTATAACTTGTTTTTCCCACATTTTAATAGATTTAGAATGTATAATTCTTTAGAATATATCTGAAACAAATTTTGTATTTTTACCTTTTAAGAAAAGCACTTTATTTATTTTGTTTCTTAAACTGTCAGTTTTCATTGTTTGCTGGAAAACTCTCCTTTGACTTTTTTTCATATCCAAATTTCAATACAATTGAGTCGGTTTAGGTTTTCAAGGGTCTGGAGAAGTGCAGTAACAGCTTTCTCTTTGACTTTTCATTGACAGCTTAAACATAGCTTGCAATCAACTGCCGTGTTGATTACATGTTGATGTGACACTGGATGGATGGTGTCACACTTTTCTTAGAACTTGAACATGAATTGCATCCCCAGAAGGAAGTACAGCCTTCTTAACATGTCAAGGAGACTACGGCAGTGTTTCTCAACCATCCTAACACCATGACACTTAAACGCAGTTCCTTGAGCTGCGGTGACCCCCAACAATAAAATTATTTCATTGCTCCTTCATAGCTGCAATTTTGCTATTGTTGTAAATTATAAGTAAATATGTGATATGTAGGCTTTCTGGAATGGTACCCCCAGAGGGGTTGTGACCCATAGATTGAAAACCACTGTTTTATAGACCATTTTCATCTTTGTATATTTATGCCGATTTTTCACCTTTAAGAAATTATCGATGATTTCCACTTTAAAATTTCAAATTACCTCTTCCTTTTGTTTTCATGCTGTTTACTCCTCAATCTTTTCTATTCATCTTAGTTTTACTTCATTTGGTCACTCTTATCAGACATTCCATTCTCCATAAATTTTACCAGCCAACTTTGTCTCTGTATAGAGATTACTATTTGTGATTTTCTTGTCTCTTTCATTACTGAAAGCTTTTTGAGAATAGAATCTGTGTCATAACTACATAATAATACTTGTATCTCTAATTATGAGTATTACCAAAAACATGAGTTTTTGGTATGTTTACTGAATGAATGATCTTTATCATGATCATGAGTGCGAACCAGATTCAGAATCATGGCCACTGAATAAAGTTAGGGCTCCTAGAAATAGAAACATTTGTTTTCAATATAAAATGAAAATGTTTTGTTTCTCTGACATTAGGATAATACATAAATCTCTTGTAATGAGTGTTAGAAGGATAAGTGGAAGAGAAGTAATGTGGAAAAACAATAACTGTCCTAGTTAGCTTGACATGTCAATTTGACAGATTAGGGTCATCTGAGAGAGAAACTTCCATTGAAGAATTATCTAGATCAGATAAGCCCTTAGGCATGACTATTGGAAATTGCCTTAATTGTCAAATGATAAAAGTTGTCCCTGTCCACTGTGGTCAGTCACATCCCTTTGTGAGTACTCCGTAGCAAGAGCCTGGGAGTGAGCCAACAAGCAGAATTTCTTCTTCAGGTTCCTGCTTGACTTCCCTGAACGGTGGACTGTGACTTGAAAGTAGAAATCAAAGACACTCTTTCGTCTCCATGTCACTTGTGGTCAGAGTATCTTATCACAGCTGCAGAAATCAAAGTAGAACAATAGCATCAGTCATTACTGAAATAAAATTGGAGCCTAAAAAAATGTCCAAACGCGTTCAATCATAGCAGAGATTAGGTGACTTATCTTTGCTATATGTTAGAGACTACTTGCTGAAACAAATAATTGGCTCTGCATATTGTTCAAGTCTCAATATTACAGTGTTAATGTATCAAAGACTCCTTCCCTGAGCAATTCATTCAGGTTAGCTCCTGGGTAATTATTCTCCATCACTTACGCTGCTTGCACATCGTGTGCCTCGCTTTCGCTTAACGCTTACTTGTGTGTTGTCTGTTCTGTCACACAATGGCTTTAGAAAAAGGGTCTTGTCTTTCTTGATCTCCGTGCCATTCCCAGTCCTACATATATTAACTAATTATCAGATAGATAAGTTAAGGGTAGATAACTATAGATCACACATTTGTCAGCTCATCTCAGAGAATCATTGGTTATCAGTGTAGCTGGAGATTTTTGTCTATAAAACAGTGGTGATTGGAGGAATGAGAACAGCAGTTCTTGGCACGGCGAGCTTCATTCTTGCAGCTTAGTGTCATTTTTTCATTTGACTCTGGCCAATATACTTTTCCTTACTGTTTGCACAAATATACTGTTGTCTTTGTATTCATTTGTAACATGTGCAGTGTGTGCCAAGTAGTTCTGCTTCATATGCATCCATTTTATAAGGTAACTTTCTATGTGCTATGGGGTTAGTTGTTTAACAAGGAGTTAAGGAATAGGGGTAGGGAGTGACTGTCAGTGGGACAAATTATGGAAAGTATTTGAGTATTCTTTCTGCTCACTGTAACCCAGTAGCTTTCATGGAATATATGATAGATATTATATCACTCCTATACCAAATTCAGATGATGGCAGCTGATCATTTGAGTGTTGGTTCTACCAGAACAGCATCATGTTTGTGAATGTGATCACTATCCTTATTAAAGAAGTCCAATACACTTCTTGTTCTTTCTGTCATATAGGCACATGCTTAAAAGAAGTCTGTGTTTCAGCAAGAGTACCGCAACCAAACACAAACTGCTAGGACTTTAATCTTAGACTTTCCACACGTCAGAGCTTTGTAAATAAATGTATCCTGTTTTTGAGCCAGGAAGTCTGTAATGCTTCTGTCCATAGCTGCCCAAATGAACTGCTGTAATCACCATGCAAAGCTGTACAGAGAATACTCAATGAATCTTCGCGCAATTGCTGCTGCATCACTCATCCAAATGCGGGTAGTGACACATTCAGGATGTGGAGATTCATAGAGGAAGAGGTTCTTGCCAGTTCAGCATTGGTTAAGCCTCAGAACCTGAACAAGGAGCTCTACTAAAATCTTCCCTGTTTTAGGAAATGAAGTGGTTACAAATTTATCTTAAAAGCTCCCTTCATTTCACTGTGAGCTAACATAGTATGTTTCAAAATAAAGGAACAAGCGCAATTTTCTAAGGAAAATTCTTTAAGATGATACCCAGAAAATTACTATCTCAAATCAGGAAAGTAATATCGTGATGTATTTACCCTTTCTCCTGCTTATAAGCTGGGTGCTTTGTGCCTGTGTCTAGTTAAAATTATATGCTTTTTGACTTGGTCTTCTGTGACCCTTAGGCACCCCACACCATCCCAGATGTCCATACGTGTACCAGATTTCTTTG